TCAAAATTAATAATACTCAAAAGTACTATTAAATTCGAATTTTATTAAAATTAATCATAACTTAACATTTCAGAATGAATAGTATAGGTACCCCTCCTATGGTATCGATACTTCTATACTATGGTGCTGATACTCCCTTCAGTATTGATACTATTTTTGCATTTTGGAATCCTTTTCTCAATAATAGTATTGATACCCCACTTCAATACTGATACTACTTGTATAAGTGTTGATATTGTTCATCGTGTTCATCTTCTTTCCTCAAATTTAACCCTATAGTATCGATATTGTTCTTTAGGTACTGATACCTTTACCCATATTTTACATATTTCACTTCGATTTTTACAACATTTTCTCCTAAATCTCTTACTTTTATCCACAACCATACCATTAAACTCATCATTACTTATCCAACTAACTTACATCCATAAATCTTCTTATAACATCTAAAATCTCTAAAGAACACTCAAAACTAAGAATTACACTAATTTTTTAAACATGTTTTTAATCACTTCTAAGGCTCCAAATCTCTTATTCACTTCTTTGACAAGTAAAAAATGCCTTCAAACTTTAATAACTGACCATATTTCATCAAATCATTTAAAAACTCATTTTATTAAATCTCAAATAAATCTTTCATCTCTCAGTTTTAATCATCCTTGAACTTTTCTTAAGCCTCTATATCACTTAAGGCTTCAAAACCATACCAAAAATGAAAGGAAAAACCAACTTGAAGGAAATTTTACCTTAGCTATGGAGGGCACGGGATGACGGGAAGAAGAAGATGGAGAATATAGAACTATTTCCCAGACTTATCCTCTTTTTCCCTTCTTTAACCCTTAATAAAATGAATATTAAATTCATTTCCTTCTAAAAGACCATAATGCCCCTCTATTTCTTCCATTCTTACTAATAGGTCTTAAACACAATTTCTTAAATAAATCCTTGTACTTTTAAATTTATTCAAATTAACCCACCAAATTTTAAATCCTTTCACTATACTCAACGACCCGATATTTGGGGTATTACACGACCAAATCTAGTGTCAATACTGAAGTTTTGCCCGAGGTTGGTGCATCCCGCCCAAATTGTCATCCAATGCTCACAAGGAGCAAATGTGGTATTTTTAAGCCTAAAGCTTTCTAGAGTTTCTTTGATGAAGAAGTTCCTTCAACAGTTAATGATGCGCTGCAGTCTCCAAACTGGGTTGCTATTGTTCAGGATGAATTTGATGCCCTGAAGAAGAATGGAACTTGGTCTCTTGTTAAGTTTCCACCAGGACGAGTAGTTGTTAGTTGTAAGTGGTTGTTCAAGTTGAAGCAAAATCCAAACGGCTCAGTTCATCGATATAAGGCGCGACTAGTTGCTATGGGTTTCTCTCATGTTCCTAAACATGACTATCTCGACACCTTTAGCCCTGTTGTGAAGTTTTCAACCCTTAATGTTGTTCTCTATTTTAGTGTCTAATAACTGGGATGCCTTCCTTAATGGATACTTGAAGGAGGCAATTTTTATGCAGCAACCTTCAGGTTCTGAATAGATGGCAGCTGATGATACACCTCTTGTGTGTAAGCTTCAGAAAACGTTGTACAAGTTGAAGCAAACTCCTCGTAATTGGCATGCCAAGTTGAAAGATGTGTTAGTTCAAATGGGATTTCAAGTTTCTCGAGCTGATGCTTCCATGTTTTTTACCAACGTCGGTGTTGAGCATGTTTATCTCTTGGTATATATCAATGATATTGTTATTACAGGTTCATTATCTCATGCGATTATTGGTGTTGTGCGCATGTTACACGAGACGTTTTCCCTTAAGGATTTGGGATCTCTCAGTTACTTCTTAGGGATTGTAGTAAAATAATCTAATGGCTCATTACTGCTCAGCCAAAAGAAGTTCATTTTGGAACTTTTGGAGGAGGCGAGTATGAAGAGTTATGCACCTTGTGTTACGCCTATGGTTCTCACGTCCAAATTGACTGAGGATGGTGAGTTACTTTCTGATTCTATTATGTATAGAAGCATTGTTGGGTCATTGCTTTATGTTTGTCATAGCAAACCAGATATTGCATTTAGTGTTGGAAATGTAGCTCAATTTATGCATGCACCTCGCGAAGTCATTTAGTTGCAGAGAAACATATTCTTGGCTACCTTGCTGGTACTGTGGATTATGGGTTGTTGTTTTTGCCATCTGATTCGGGGCTGACAGTTTCAGCATTTGTTGATGCTGACTGGGGCGCTACTATCACTGATCGGCGATCGATTTCTGGTTATGGTGTGTCTCTTGGTAAACATTTGGTTGCATGGAGTTCCAAGAAATAGAAGTTTGTTTCTCGATCAACAATGGAGGCTGATTATAAGAGTTTAGCTGATGCTATAGCAGAAGTTACTTGGGTGAGTGCGCTTTTAGCTGATCTCGGTTTAACGCAACACGAGAAATCAATGATCTGGTGTGACAATACAGGAGCAGTGTCGATGAGTGCCAATCCTGTTTACCATGCACAATCGAAACATGTTAATCTTGATATGCATTTTGTTCGTTAAAAGGTGGATGTAGAGCAGTTGTGCGTGATTTATGTGCTTGCAACTCACCAAGTTGTAGATGGGTTTACCAAGCCCTTGTCCAAATCAGCGTTTGAAGTGTTTCGTGAGAGAATCTGGGTGCGTTTGTGCTCAAGAACAGAAGACCAGACGAAGTAGAGGGAATATTAGCATTATTAGTAGGTACATGTGTTAGTGTATGATGGTTGAGGTTGTTAGAGTGGTTAGACAATCTGTTAGGGTTATAACAGTCTGCATGGGTTGTATATAAAGGGCATCTCAAGTGTTGTGCACACTGTGTGCATTATTTTCTTAATAAACATCTCTATATCCTTCTTATTCCCGGTAGCTTAACACAATCCTCCAACAACAACGAACACCTCAATAGATGTGAGAATTCCAATTGCAGACGAAATTTCACCAACAATAGCTAGACTAAGACCAGAACAGATAAACCCATCATGAAAACGAGCAATAAAGTGAGCTCCTTAGGCCACCATATAACACCTCTACAATCTAATCAACAAAGCCACAAACCAGTCTTGAGATACTCCACAACCAAAACAACACAACAAACTGAAACCTGGGTTGCAAGAGAACCATCCAGCACAACATAAATTAAGCTATCTTCAACCCTTGCGAAAATGTTTTAGATTGACAGTAGCGAAAATCACCAAAAAGCTATGAATCAGCAACAACCTTCGTCGAAGAAGACACAAAAATGGCCACCCCCCCTTGTACCTCGTAAAAGATGTAATCATTTCAAAGGAAAGAAAACCAAAAGCACATCACCAACAACCACACTCGAGAAATAAAAACGTAGAACCAGACTAATTAAGCACCAAGATTTCCAATCCGCTGCTGCACTACACCAAGCTTTAAGGAGTTCTAGACTCGACAATCCGATATCTGCCAACCATTCCGCCCATGGCTTCCACCACTTCCCAATCTTCCTCAACAAATAATCTTCCAAATCTGGCAAACACATCTGCTATGCTTGCCCCTGCTATTAACCGCGAAGAACAACACCCAATTTTATAAAAATAAATGCTACAACAAATTGCTCCCATCTATTTCACCCCAGAATAAGAGAGACTTTACACAAGAGTTGACTGCTTAAAACTTATCCCACCTTGAAGCAATAAATCGAATCCATCCGAAATACTATGAACAACGAACCACCGATTGTTAATCTCAACACCTGTGAATGAAGCTTTCATGGCTAACTCCACACACAATCTTTTTAGAAAACTTCAAACCACTTAACAAAATATATCTTCGAAACCAATCTTCTTACAATCCAATTAAGCACCCACATTCTCACTGAGCTCTCCCCTAAAATTTAAAGATTACTAATTCTCTTCCAATAAGGCTAGATCTCTCACCACCTCCCTTTCATCACCTATGAACTAAATTTCAAGTTTCTTTCCTAGTTCGAGCGTTTACCTAGCCTCCTTAATTTGTAATTCCAGCCTTTCAATCTCATTTTCTTTCTTCTTCTCTTTACTGATTGCCCGATCTCTCATCTTCCTCATCCGAACAGATAGGGCTCTGTCTTGGTAATTCTCCTAACACTTTCTTCTTTTGGAGATTCTCCACCTCCTCTTTTATAATTTTTATTCTGATTATCTTCCCTGTTGACAACGTTTATGGGGGTATTTCTCTGACCAGAGTTACCGTCTAACTTCTTTATCCCGTCGACCCTTATTTCTTTCTTCTGATTGACTCTTCTCCAGAAATCTCGTCTTTCATTATACTAAGCAGAAGATACTGATAAAATATTCCCATACAGCGAGGAAGCATTCCTTCTTCCAATTACTCTATTAGCCTCAAACTTTTCAAAACTCACAAAACCAAACCTTTTCCCTCTCCTATTCCTTTTGCTTGCTATGAAAGCATCCACTACCTCACCATGTCTTCCAAATGATTGCCATAATCCTTTCCAGTGAAGAGCTGCTGGAATGTTTTCCACATATAGTGTGGTTATCTGGTTTGCAATCCCTTTCCCCTTCCTCCACCAGCTGCTGTCGCTCCCCATTCTTTGGTTTGTTACTGTAAACTTGCAAAGTTACAACACACTACGATTATCCCTTCATTTGATTGTAGTTTTAGTTGACGGAGGATTATCTGCCATTAATTTAAATGTAAAATGGGATTTTTGATCAATACAAGATAAAGCATATAATGTATTTAGGTTATTAAATAGATGATAAAAATAAAACAATATCTTCGGATATTAAGATAATCTACTAGTAATCCTAATAATGCTTGGGAACCAAGTTTCCCTTCCTACTAATTAATCCATACCTTTTATAGGTAGAGTTATTTGCATATCAAATCTTTCCTTGCTCAAGACTTAAACTATAAATACTTCGTTTCCTTTTTAGAGAAAAATCAAGGGTTTAATCTTCACTTTTTCGTCATTATGCAGACCAAGTTTATGAAGTCGAAGAGAGAAAGAAACAATGGAGGACGTGACCAAGAGAAGGTGTAGCAGTAGTAGTAGTGGACGTAATGGTCATAATTCGAGAACGTGTGACGAGAAGAAAGAATCTGTGAAGCTTTTTGGTGTGAATATAGCAGCAATGGATCAAAATCAAGAATGTTTGAAAAAGAAAGTTTTTTTGCGTGGGAAATCCGCAGTTTGATGCAGAAAACCCTAACAAAAACAGAACCGCCCATAAAACTGGAAGAGGGAAGCCATGGACGGAAGAGGAGCATATAATGTTCTTGGCAGGTTTAAGAAAGCTGGGGAAAGGTGGTTGGAAAGGAATTTCAAAGGACTTCAGTTCAAGTTGCAAGCCATGCACAAAAATATTTTCTCAGGCAGCAACGAGACAAGAAAAAACTCAGGCAAAGCTTATTTGCATGCCTTTTCAACAATCTGAATCCAATTCTGTATATATTCTTAATCTCTCTCTTGCATGTTCTTTTCAACAAGAGTAACATATATGTAAGTCTAAATTTATGTATGTATGTATAGGTAATTTGTTCAAGTTGATGACTAGAGTTTCATGGTTTAAATTCACAGTACGAATGTCCTTGGGGTTCACCTGTAGAAGGGAATTCATCTCAGATTGTGAACCAATTTTCTCCGCCGATGATTGAATTTCCTATTTTACTGACTAGTAATCAAACGATTCGACCCATGGTAAGAAACTATCTGCAGTTCATTTTTTCCTCTAGTATACCAGATTTCCAGAGACAGATAACCTCGCAAGTTAATGTTTTAACAGGCAGAAGTAACTTGTAACATGATGCAATCTCCAGCAGTTGGAGCGGTAGCTGTCGGCGCACCAGCTGATCAAGCTTCGCCGGTGTCAGTTCGGGACAACATGTTTGGAGCATGCCCTGGTGCTTCATCAACAGAGGAAGATCATTTGGAGATCAAGATTGCTACCCCTAAACCAACAGAATGCATAACTATTTAACAATTTCGAGGATTCATTAGGGTGATTTGAAAAACACAAAATTGTCATTTATTATAAATAAGTCCCAATATTGTCCAGTTTTAAACAATAGTTTCAAACACATTGACCAATACATGATTCAGAATGTTTTGGTGCCTACTCTTCCATGGAATTACAGGCCATTATAATAAACTGTAAAAGAATTAAAAGTTCATTCAGCCATTGCCAAACATTGTTGAAGTTCTCCAACACTCTTACAAACTTATACTTAAATGTACTTATATCAACGTATTCGAACACGAACAAATGTACTTGTATCAACAGAAAAATATGATTTTAGTGTTGCATGCCAAACTAAATTGAAATGCAATGCCAAAACAATCGTTTACTGTTGCATTTAGTTCTACAGAGCAGATAATTATCACCAACAGTACCTAATTCTACCCTATTTAGTGATATTTCTTAAACCTTTTATGCTTTTAGAGTTCGGTTTGTTTCTCTTTCAGAAATGCAGTCAATCGAACATGTTTTTTTTTATCAGAGTTTTCTCTAATCTTACATAACTCCTTTTGTTTGTTGTCTGTATGGATTTTTTCACCATAAAAAAGTTAAATCTGTTCAATGAAGAATACTCTAAAATCTAAGTAGCTTCCTTGAAAGAAATTGGAAGACCTATGAAACTACTTGAAACTTGGCCATTTCGTTACACTGCAACGTTCTACACAATTGCTTATCAAAGGTTACAATCTTAGCAGCAGGACGGACCTAGAAATTTATGTTAGAGGTACGAATTTAAGAAATTATATTAGAAATTTAAAGATTGTGAAATTAGATAATCAATGGACAATACAAAGAAAATACATAAAATATAAGATAATTTAAAATTTATAGAGATACGACCTCATCTCCAGCAACCCCTTGGTCCATCCCTGCTTAAGCTTAACTCATTGGCTCAGCACAAGACCCTTATGTAAGGAGTGTCAGATTTGATTCCTTTTTTCTCTCAAGTAGAATTCATTTATTTTCTTTGATGTTATTCAGATTAATAAAGTGTGTTAACATATGGCATCACCCAATTGGTTTGAATAAAATTATTAGAAATGACACATGGACTGTTGTAGGGGGCGAGTCATGATTCTAATTCAAGTGGACAGTGTATAACTAACGATAGAAATGCGAAGGACAAAACTAAAATAAACCATGGGGGACAAAATCAAAATAAACCAAAATTTGAACGTCTGAATTCATGTTTTCCATATATATTTTTAATAATAAAAAATTGGGTGTGGTTTACACTTTTTCTATTTACGTTGGTAACCTCATTTTAGAAATAAGAATAAAAACACCTTTATTTAGAAATTAAGATAATAGAACATCTTATTATAGGAACAGTCAGCATATAGTACAGAAAAGTTTAATTCATGGTATAATGATAAACTTGACCCTAATAAAGGCGTGAAAGAAGTTTAGAGAGAACATTATATGGAACTTGGAAAACAAAAGACAAACATGCGAAGTTTGTTACTTGAAAAAAAAAACATGCAAATCAGTTTCAACTCATTATGGACCCTAAGTTTGCCTAAATAGCATGTGCTCCTATTTAAGCGTATAGGTCCCTGGAGCAGCTACGAAACTCCATGAATTCTTCTCTCCGCCAAGCAAAAAAACCAAACATAAACGAAAGCTGTCTTATAAGACACAGCTAAGCTAACACAGAGAAAACCAGACAAACCAGAAAAAAATGGCAGAACCGGTGACCAACGAAGCCAAAGACACTGTTCCCAGGGTCATATGTTTCTTGTCTTCTTTGTTGGAAAGAGTAGCGGAGTCCAATGATCGTTGCCGGTTGTTTCAGTTGCAGAAGATGTCGTTTTTTCATGGCACTACGAGGCCTACTATTTCCATCAGAAGCTATCTCGAGAGGATCTTTAAATACGCAAACTGTAGCCCTTCCTGTTTTGTGGTTGCCTATGTTTATCTTGATCGGTTCGTGCAGATGCAGCCATCTTTGCCTATCGATTCTTACAATGTACATAGGTTGCTCATCACCAGTGTCTTGGTTTCCGCCAAATTCATGGATGACATGTAAGTTTAAAGCTATGATTCCTGGAAAAATAACTTTGTGGTTCATTTTGTTTGCTCGCCTGGTTTTGGTCTGGGTTTTCATGTTTGAAGATTAAACATTTTGTATGTGCCATGGATCTTTCAATTTTCAACTTCAAAATCCATGATTTTGATGTTTGATTGAGCTTGCAAACCTTGTTTATTTGTGCTGATATTTCCTTACCTGCAAGATTTCAAGCAGGCATGTGAGAACATGAAAATCTTACAGCCATGTGAGATAACACATCATTTCTGACCAGACAACGTTATCCTGGATGTGCTGGTGTTGTCTATATCAACCATGGCACGCCTGTAAATTCCCCATAAAATTTTAAGAGCTTATGAATATGACAGCTCAATAAGGCCATGCAATCAGTATTTAATTATTGGCTTAAGATCCTCAATTCATTTCACAGGCAATTATAGCAGCTGTTTTAACTGTCATTTTTTTTTACTTTTTGAACTGTACTCATAAGCAATTAAACCCTTTTTTTCAGGCATTACAACAATGCTTACTATGCCAAGGTGGGTGGAATCAGCACAGCAGAGATGAACCTTCTTGAATTGGACTTTTTATTTGGTTTGAGCTGCCAATTGAATGTGACACCTACAACTTTCCACACTTACTGTACTTCTCTACAAAGGGAAATGTGGATGCAAATTCAATCCCCTCTACAACATTTCCCTCAACCTGTTAGGATCCATTGTTGTTTAAATGAAGATGAATCCAACCATCACCAGCACCTTGCTGTTTAGGCCATTGTTCTTGTGGTGTTTATTATAGACAAGGCCATTGATGTTGTGTTTAATGACCCCAAAAATGAAGATGTTGGCTCCAGCACTTTGATTTCTGACAAGTCAAAAATCTGATTTGGGTTTCTCTTCTTTTCTGTCAATGTGCTGTAAGAACATTCCAAACCTCATTTCTTGTGGTTTAGTCATAGTTAACCGCAGTTTACCTTAATTTAGCGCAATTATAGTTGAGAGTTTTGTGCTTACAGTCTGGCCAACATATATGTATGCATGTATGGATAGATGGATGGATATCCAAATCTTTTACATTTTGAGTTATTTCATTAAAAATGCATTATTCCAATAAAAAGCTGATAAAACTCATTCGGAGATTACAATGGTGGGTCTGGCACATGGTTTTGATGTTATGAAAAGCTCGAGTCATGTACCTCTTTAGCTCCTTGTTCACTTTATCTTCATCCCACATGAAACCTTGAATGTTCTGCCAAATCGAATGAAAAATGATTAAAACACGCTGTAGTATTTAGTTAGATCGACCCGCTGAACTGTTCTTTTCTCTCGAAATAGGATGATCAATTCTTTCCCTCAGAACTTTAATTGAGAGTTTCCTGTCTCACGCAGATTAAGAAAGCAGTGCAGAACAAAATAAGATTTATTACCTGAACCCACTCGAAGTAGCTGATGGTCACCCCTCCTGCATTTGCATATATGTCGGGCATCATTATCACTCCTTTCTTTGATAGAATCTGCATTAATGGAGTCTCGTACCTGAACTTAGCTTTGATCTTTGGAAGCAGAAAAGAAGGGGGAAATATACCTCATCTGCTTCCGGATCAGTAGGATGGTTTGCCGCCTCTATTATGAACTTCTCCTTAACATCCTCAGCGTTTTCCCTTCAAAGGAAATGAAACCAAGCTATAATAAAAGAGCTGGAAATGTTAACGTAACATGCAACACTCCACCTAAAGCACATGAGACAAGAACATCACATTCGTGTACAAGCAGTTCATTCGGATCCAAGGAATCTCCCCCACTGAACCCTTTCAAACTTCCAGTAGCTTCTTTATACTTCAACAGCTCCAGTATATTGATTCCATTTGGATTCTTAACAGCACCTCACGGCAATAACCTTACAACCCCTCTCATGTATGAGCCTTGCCACCCAAGATCCAACATTACCGAAACCCTATAAGGATGTCAACAATATAAGCATTAACAAAAGTTTTGGAGCATCTGAACGGAAAGGGAATTTTAACAATCTATGAATTTCGTGTCAACTCTACCTGAATAACAGAGGTCAAACCCTTAACTGCCTTCCAATATTCAGCGAGCAAAGCTTCAGTAGCATATACAACGCCACACCCGGTTGCAGCTTCCCTGCCTAGTGAACCACCTAGATCCTAAAATCCTCAATATAAGAATACTAGAATTTGTTATTCTATGCAGTCAATGACATCTTTATCAACAGATTACAAGCTTTGGATTTCGGTCTTTGACACTTACTATCAGCTTTCCTGTAACAACAGCCGGCGAGTGTCCATGAAACTTAGAGTACTCATCCAAAATCCATGCCATAGTCTACATATAAACTTAAGAAAGTAAACTAAATGAAGTAAAACAAAGAAGTTAATATAAAATAGAACATCATAAGGAGTACATTATAACTTGTGCATTAGTTCTCATGTCTGGTGCAGGAACATCTGTATGTATAGCAATGAGATCATGGATCTTTTGAGTGAAGATGCGAGTTAGGCTTTCCAACTCGCTCTTACTTAATTCCTTAGGATAGCATCTTATGCCGCCTTTTGAGCCACCATAGGGAATGTCTGCAACCGCAGTCTTCCAGGTCATTAGTTGAGCCAGTGCATTCACTTCATCAAGATCAACCTTTAAACAAACATCGATTGAGATGTAAGATCAAAACATATATGCATAGTTAAACTGCACATCTTTAACTATTGCAAGAGTTAGCTTTTCCATTATCGTAATTATGGGATTCAAATCAAAGAATATCAACAAATTGTTAAAAGAAAACGTGTTAACCTCAGGATGATATCTGATTCCTATTTTCATGGGACCACGAGAATTATCATGCTGTATTCTGAATCCAACGTATGATACCAAGGTTCCATCGTCCTTTGGAATCGTGCATTCCGCCTGATTATAAAGAAACACCAATCAAAACATTAACATTCCAAAATCTCAGAAGAGAAAAGAAAAAAGATTTCCATCAACAATTAAATGAAAAAAAAAAAGAGATTTTTCCTGCAATACCTTGATCTCCCAAAAAGGGATCAAAAGAGACTTCTCAAGCTTGGAGTCTAATCCAAGTAACCGAGACGCCAGGCGGAAATTACGGCTAGTTCCAGCAAGAGCATTCACGGCTACCTATTGAAACCTCAAAGAACAAGGGATGCCCAGAAACGGGAACGATGAAAAGATCAAAGGGAAACAACATTTTGAGCCTTAAAACAAGGAAACGTAACAAGTTTTTGAGTTAGTTGAACACAAGAGAGAAAAATATTGTTTCTTTCAATGGAAGAAAGTGGACATATCATACATTTCGGGAAGGTCTCTAAGAGATAACAGAGGGTAAAAGAAGAGAATGGAAACAAGGTACTGAGCGGATCCAAATCAAAAATCTTATGAAATAGAATTAGTAGCTCCTAAAGGCCAAATTTAACAACTTTAATTTAGCAGATAGCAATTGGAATAAAGCTTTTACTTATAGGGAGGAAAGGCCAAAACCTACTTTTTCCGGTTTTTTTCTGTCGTGTATGATCTATCCTAAAGATGGGCCCATGTAAATGTATATTTATATTCTTATTTTGGGTAAAGTACCTAGACAGTAATAACAATCTGATAGTTAAGTAAATTTGTATAATTACACTTTTGATTTTCATTACTTACTCATTCTATTAATTTATTTCAAATTTTAATTTAAGTAAAAAAATTAATTCACCAATTAGACGATGAGATTTGTTGTTTAATGTTAGTGAAAGAAGGGTACTGAACATGGAGCGTTGGAGTGGAGGGTGAGTGTACTAACCAATGGGACCAAATCATCAAACAGCAAAATCATAGCAACGCATCTTATTAAAGGAAAGTATGTGAAGTGAAGAATTAACGAGCTGGAATAGGTTGGGAGCCCACCGCTCCAGCTGATCTTGTATGATTCTTCTTAAGTTGATGCATTGGCCAGGCTTGAACTTCTACTCGAGTTGGAAGAACAGAAAAAATATATGCTTCTTCTTGACTACAAAGTAGTTGCTGATGTTGCTGCTTGCAGAAAAGCAGGCTTTATGATATTGGTGAGGATGTTGTATCTTTGAAACATTTATTCGGACATCTCCACAGTGGGTCCTTTAATATGTTTCCAAAGACATCACAATTACATTGTCGCCAGACAAGTTTTGCGTTTATTTAATGCTTTTAAAAACGCGATCATTGATGTTTCTCTAACTCCAGCTCTTGGATAAACAGTTTGGTTATCACTTTAAACCTCAAAACAAAAGCTAATCCCATACAAATCCTAATATTGCATTAACTCTCTGGAAAACTAAAGCAACAGGAAACAACAGAGAGGATTAAATCGTAGTTTCTACGAGTTCTTAATTATATTTCAGAACACTAGCATCTCCTACTCATTTATCACAGTTGAAGCAATGCGTAGGCAATTCTCGAATTAATGGATTCATCGCTCCTGCAAACTCACAATTTGAGAAAAATCTGCCTTCCATTTGATACGGGAACTGTAGTTTATCTTTCTCCATGTTATAGAACAACATGACCATTATAAACTTCAAGTAATAGTCTTCTCGAAATTGCTGGCTTCCGAGTCTAACAACACGTGATCCATCTTAATACGGCCTGTATCTCATTGGCCGCCTGAACCTTGGAAACCCCCTGAAAATGAGGTCAAGTGAGTTAATATATTCGATGACATGGTTACTTATCGGAAACTGCATTCAATTCTCTCGAGCACAGGGGTAAACAAAGTGTGATGCTGACGGATTAGAAAATCATGTAGATGATTCTGAAGTAATAGTTACCATGAAAATCAAATGACTTTACTAATACTTTTCACTTGTAAGCCATGAATGATTGAAAGAAAGTTTAAACATTACACAGACAACAAATGCTGGATAGCAGAGATCATATAGGTATAATTTCTGAGCATCATGTGATCTTTCCACTTTTTTTTTTTTTTGATAAAACCAAACGGATGCAACTGTTATTACTTGTAAATACCATTTGAGCATATGTTAAAAAAGTGAGCTTAATGTTATGATATGCAAAACAGAAAGGAAACTAGACAGTTCTAGTGATTAGCACCCAATCCTCGTGATTTTGGAAGCCTGGTAGGGACCAAAGGCATGACGATGCCTTGTGAATCCTTGCCCAACCCCATACCTTCTACAAAACCCATCTTGGCCATCATCTTGGATCCAAAACCTTTGGTGTACTTTTCAAAACATCCGAAAGAGTTATTATGCTGACCCCTCGATGAGTTGCCAAAACTTTTGATACGGTTTACAGAAGCTCCACCGGGTTTATTATGATGTACCCTCTCTGAGTCACTGCTTGTGCTGGTGAAATTCACACCCAACCCAAGGGATTTAGGCCGCTGTACGGCTTCAATGGGCTGTGCCATGCCTTGACCATCTTTTCCCAATCCTCCACCTTCAACAAATCCCATTTTAGCCATCATTTTGGATCCAAAACCCTTTGTATGTCCCTCGAAGGCCCCAATTTGAGCTGATCTGACAATACCCTTATGTTCATAACTTTCTAATGTACCCTCGGGATCTGTAGTTCTGACCTCATCAGTTTCCGATATCATGATCCCACTTGATACAAATGAGACAGGTTGATTAGAATATGGGACCTTTTTTCCATTTATTTTTTTCTCACTTGATCCACAGAATTTACTTGAACTGGCTTTCTTAGAGCCACTTCCTTTAGCAGCCTTCTTTGCTCTTGTTCTGCATGCTGCATCCAATGCCTTCCAATAAAACCCTTCATTAACAGCAAAGTTCGCATCCTCATCACTGGCTCCAATTAGCTTTTCCAGGCGAAGTTTGTCACTGGAAGATGGCATGGAAGTGTATCGTGTATGTGTTACTGTCACGAATCTTTCCACTTCCAAGCATCTAATTCCCAAAAAAGAATGAGACCCTTACATAAAAGTAAACCCAACAAATTATCTTTTTTTCTTTCATTTCTAACAACGAAACAAAGCAAGCACACTTTCATGCTTACCCATAGCCATATGGAGGATAGAAAACAGGACCAGGAATGAAAGGCCTTCGGGAGCGGAACCTTCCTCGATACTGTTTCATTCCAGGAACATTTGTCCGTTTAGCAGAGACCTGTGAATAACCGAAACACACTTTAATTACCATGTTGTTTATTCATGAGCATCCACACATATATGATTATAAACCTTCAACTGACGACCATGCAATTCCGTTTCATTTAACAGTTGAGCATTTTGAACAGCATCAATTTCAACAAATTCGACGTAAGCAAATCCTTTAGGTTGACCAAACTTATCAGTCAAGATTGTAACTCTGTTCACTGTTCCACAGGATTGAAAATGTTGTTGAACTTCCTCAGGTGTACATGCATAGTCTACCTGTTGTGACAAAGATATATAAAGAAAGGAAAACAAAAGTTAGCCAAGATCCAGATCATTTGTTCACAAGCATGGAAAAATTGTTTAGTTATACTTCATTGAGATCACTTGTTAATTGTACATTGAAACAAGTAAGGACTTACTTAAAGAAGAAAAACAACATTTAACACAAACTATATTGATATTTCATCCGAGTAATTTCTAACAGATCAAATTTGTTCGAACCACATTTAACTTGACATCAGTACAATACTAAGACATGATTTTCCTTGCAATCACATGCACATAAAAAGCCATTCTCAAGCTACACCGTATGCAAAAAGGATAAAACCAAATAGGAACAAAGAGGCAAAACTATTCCCATATCCTTATGCCAAACAAGAATCATACTTTCAGATTATAAGTGAATTTTTATCATAAAGAATTAATCGAACAGAAGGTAAGGCGTATGAGGCAATATGACCAACTAAACATTTTAAAAATAAATAAAAGAAAGCATATGAAAGGGATGATAAACCTTACATTACCAACATAAATTGAGCGGGAATCCACTTCCTCCTTTTCAGCTTGATTTGCAGAAGCACTTGAGGAATCTACATAGGCATCCAGGAAAATAAAGTAAAAACAAACCAGTTTACTAGTATTAACAATTCATACACAAAACACTCCGTAATTAAAAAAAAGGAATTCAAATCAGTAAAATTAAGCAGATACTCTCTTTCTCGAACAAGAAATGTATATCACAATCAAAGTCAAATTTTGTAAAAAAAATAGAGGAATATATATACATATATAAACAACCTTGGGCAGTGCCCATCTCCTTCTCAACTTTAGCCTGCATTTCACGTAAAGCCCCCGCCTCTTCCTCGATCTCCCTAAGTCTTCTTTTCATGTCTTCCAAGTCCTAAAATGTCAACAAACAAGCAAACATGTTATTCATCAGAGAAAAAGCTAAGATAAAAGCTAGGGAAAAGGGAAAAAAGATAAAATAAAAGAAAGGGGGCAACTTTGGAGTTGGGATTGGGATCTTGGTCGTTGGCTTCGTAATCCTCAGCTCCACCAGACATGTCCACCTCCACCTCAGCATCCATCTCTCCTTCCTCTTCAGGGATCTCCCCTCAGTACACCTCGTGCTCTTGCTCTTCGTATTGATCCATAATAGTCAAACTGGGGGTTTGGAATTAGGGTTTTACTCTTTTGTTCTGGATTTGGGGAAGACAAGATTCGGTGCTCGGCACTTGGGGAGATGGGACTGTGATGTTTGCCTTCGATGGATATGTATATTTTGATATACTATGATGGTCATCGGTCGGATGGGTCGGATTTTTGGTCCACTCTACTCAACCCGAGAATAAGGGAATCTTCCCCTGAGATTTAATCTGATCCGACCAAAATAAGGTTTTCTCTAACTTAAATATATGAATTCAAAACTCGACCCGAAATAATAAAAATTTATTTTTATTCAATAAAAATAGTGACTTAATTGAAAAAATTTTATAGAGATATTATTGTAATTATTTCTAAATATAAGGTAAAATTATATTTTTTCGGGTTGAATCGGGTCGGGTATTTTCACCCTAAACCCAAACCCAACCCAATTCGACCTAAATTTTTTTAAAAAATATGACCCGATCGGATCAGGTCGAAACCCGTCGAGTTCGGGTTAAGTGGCCATCCTATGATCTACTAGGGTAAATTTTGCTTTAAAGTCTTCTAATTCAATTCATATTTTAATAGTAATAATATCACTTAAAATAAAATAAATTAAAATGAATTAATGGCCAAATTGACAAATATGCTTCCTCCTTGCGTTGATATATGTCTTCATGATGTTTCTTTAATGAAGCTTTTTCATTTTGTATTATTAAAATTTGTGAAAATTTTAAATTTTTAATTCCAAAAATAAATTCAAAATTCTTAGACTTTAACTTCAACCTAATTATTTTTTTCTCGTTACCTTTGCACTATAAGATGTAGGGTGGAGATCACAATTCTTTTAGGACTTTTTGATAAGTTATAATTATATTATATATTGTATTAATTCTTTTATATTTTAATGACCTAAATTTTCTATAAGTCTATTTTTGTTAGAAAAATTTAAGAGTTAAATTGATATTTCAGTTGCTGAAAGTGTAGGTCCTCGTTTCGAAGAGGCATGGGCTGATGAAACAGATTCCCAGGCAGTACGTAATGGGGGCAGTTGAGCATGTTGCAATTTGTCAACACTTCTAATGCTTTGGAGGAAGTTAGTTTGGCGCACGTGGTTCCTATAGTGGAATTGTGTGCTGGTTTCGATGGTAAAACATTAGAGGTGTCGACTTCGCCTACGGATGGATTTAACAACAAGGTTGCGCATGATGAAATTTGCCAGAGGATTGGCAATTTTCATGCTTTGGAGGATTTTAGTAAGGCGCACGTGGGTCCTATGGTTGATTCTGTAGGACCAAAGATCAATGAAAGTGGTGGGCTTATGGCACTACATAGAGATTTGGTAATGGAACTATCCCAAAAGCCTAACCACGTTTTTCCCATTTCTCAAGATAATATTTTTTTCAAAAGCTGGCAAAGGGTTGGACGTGAATGCAAACAGTAGTGCATGCACTAGCAACGTTTTGAAAAGAAAAATGAAGCACTTGAGGAGGCTAAAGCGGACTCAAGCTGTCAGAAGAGGTGCGGTTGTTCGAGGTATCTCTGCGAGGGAGAACCCAGCTCTTCGGAGGGAGCTTGAATTCGGCTGATCAGATTTTTGAATCAGCTTTGGTTCTGTTAGGTGTTAGGGATTTCGCTTTGGCCCTCGATGCGCCCGAGTGCTTCAAGTTTTTTCTGTTCGTAGCCCCGGAACTTTTATTGTATGGTTGGTGCTGAAAGGGTTTTGTTTCTAACCGTTTACATCATTGGTTTTCTCCTTTGATTCTGTCTGCTATTTCTTCTTTGATTTGCGGGTGGTCTAGCTTGAAGCTTCGGTTTCCTTGTCTGGTATCTGTTTTCCAGCAGCTCGGGTGGTTGTCAAAGCTTATCTTTGTGGATATTCCTTAAATAGGGAGGATCCACCAAAGATAAGTTAAAAGATGATTGGGTCAGCTGAGTTGATTCGTGTAGTCTTTGCTCTCTGGTAATATGCTTCGGTCCTTGGACAAGTCTGTTGGCAGTTAGTTTTTCAGCATGTGTGGTTCTCCATGACTCAGGGTTAGTCTTCGTTTAAGTTCTGGTTGTGTTTGATGTGTTGGCTCGTTACGGTTATACCGTCGGTGTTCGATCTCTTTCTTTTTAATAGTTTGTTTGTGTTGAATTTCTTGAATTAGTGTTGGGTTTGTTGTAGGAGTGGAGTATGGTATCTGTGTTGTTACATATTTGTGTTTTTTATTACCGCCTCAAGGCACACTCTTTTTACTCCGCTTAGGATTAGGGAGGTTTTTTAATGAGGTTCTTGAGGTGGTATACTTTGTAATCATTCTTAATACAAAATACTCTCTTTAAAAAAAACCCTTTTTAATAGAGCGCCACACCATCAAATTAAGAAGAATTAACGACTCACTGATCAAAATATAACAATCGATGATATAAATGACCAAAAATAAATAAATCGATAATGTATGTGATTAAAACATAAGTCCTTTGAATTTGATGAACAAGAGTATACAAATATAAAAGAAAAATGATTAATTCAATAGTTTACCCCAAATAATTAATGAACAAAAGTATACAAATATAAAAGAAAAATGATTAATTCAATAATTTACCCCAAATAATTAATGAAGGAGGTACACAAATTAGAGGGTGAAGAGTACAGGTAGTCTAAATTTAAGGTGCTTTTACTTTACTTGTTTTATATCGGAGTCATTAAATTTTAATATTGCTTTAATTAAGGTTATTATCGTCATGTGATATGCTTATGTGCATTTTTCTTTAATAAATTAGTATCTTCTGATAAGATGATAATTCATTATATAATTTTACTAATGAAATATATATAGATCATGATGTGATTAAAACCTAAAATTCCTAAAGAGAGCCTAAATTTAATCATAAGATTATCAATTATTATTATTATCATTATTTTAATAAAATATTATTTAAGTTAGATTTATAATTAAAATTAATTTTATTAATTTTATTTTATAAAAGTATATTAATTGTAATATAAATTACTAAATGATATGATAATATATTTTTATTCGAATATCGTGTGTAGAGGGATCACCTTAAACTAGTATCGGTTTGAATTACGTAGTAAGCTTAATGGTGCATACAAGAACTAATGACAGGCAGAGCGAGGAACACTCCAAATCTCATGTTTATAGATTTTTTCTTCACAAATTTATCTTATAAATTAGAGTCACGTAGAAAATAAACACAATATCAACCATAAAAAAATAAAACAAAAATTACAAGGAAAAAAAAAGAATCAAAAACGTGGAGTTTATGAAGCAATCTGCATGGTTTTTCTCTTTGTTCCGGTTGTTTAGTCGCAGAGTGCACAGAAACCCGCAGGGTAAATCCCAAGTAAATGATTGGTTCAGTAGTGTTATCAAGCCTCTCATCAAAGGGCTGGCACTTTAGACCTGACTTGGGAAAGGTCGAGACTGAACCTAAAATCATAAAGGTTAAGCAAGGTGGCGGTGGAGATTTCGCTACAGTAATGAAAGCCATTGACAGCGTTCCAGCCGGTAACAGCCAAGAGAAAAATCACAATTCCTCGAGACAAGCCTTATGTTACGTTGTTGGGAGACTCCAAAAACATGCCCAATTTGATGTTTGATGCCACCGTCAAGGAGTACGGAATTGTAGGCAGCGCCACTCTTACTACATTGTCTAATTACTTTGTGGGTGCTTATCTCACCATAGCGGTAAGCTCGAATTTAACCTACACGTATCGTTATATTTTGACTTAATTTATAATTGATATTTAAATTTTAGGGTAAACTACATTTTAGTACCTAAACAATCCGTTTTAATACCTAAACTTTCAATTTTTTCAAAACTATACGTAACATTTAGTTTTTGTTTCATTTACAACCCTTGTTCAAAGCTTAATGTTAAGTTTTAAAAAAAATTTAAAGTTTAGGTGTTAAAACGAGCCAAAATTGATAGTTTAGGTACTAAACGTGTCAAGTTTTTAACGGGCAGTTACTAAAATGAAACAAAAAACTAAATGTTAGGTATGGTCTTCAAAAACTTAAAAGTTTATGTACTAAAACAGACCAAAATTGATAGTTTAAGTACAAAACGCGTAGTTTACCCTATATTTTATAGAGATATTTGAGATATTCTAAATTTTGAAATAAATATCAAATTTTAGTATAAATGAGATATCATGTAGTTGTATCCTTGGTTAGTGGTTGAATGTATATATTATCTAGGGTGTACATTGAAATCCGAATTTCTTTAAACTAATTGTTTATTTTATTGATGGTGTCCAACCTGAATTTTTTTGTATCGGTCCATATGAAAATTTCTATTATTAATACATATATGCATATCTTGGAAAATATTTTTGGATCCGCCAATGCCCTTGTTTATAATGCATTATTATTCTTGTAACCTGTAAAAATAGAAAATGCCGAACCACATTAAATTTATCTTTTACACATATATTATTTTTATATTGATATCGCTTTATCTATTTTTTCAACTTATAACTTATTGACACATGTTCTTCCTTGAATTGAATACATTGTTAACTTTCATTAATTTGTTGACAATTATATAGAGAACAGTGCTCCAAAGCATGATGGGAAAAGGGCAGGAGCACAAGCGGTTGCCTTGAGAGTATCCGGCGACAGATCGGCATTTTATGGCTGCAACAAATTCAGTTTTCAGGATACATTGTGCGATGACAGGGGGAACCACTTCTTCAAGGATTGCTATATTCGAGGCACCGTTGATTTCATTTTGGAAGTGGGGAATCTTTATATCTGGTTGGTATACATTTAAACAACACATGAAATACTATATATATATATGCCGGATTTTGATTGGAAAAGTGGGATGCAGGACTCGGAAATATTTGTAGAAATAGATCCGAAACTCACAGTAATCACGGCACAAGCTAGAGAAAGTTCATCGGAGGACATTGGGTACTCCTTTGTGCACGGAAAAATCACCGGAACGGCAAATGGTTCGTTTTTGGTGAGGGCATGGAAGAGCAGTCCGAGAGTTGTTTATGTATATACTAAAATGACCAACGTTGTGAATCCTGCTGGATGGTCTCATGAAATACAACCAGAAAGAGCCAAGTAAGCTGGTGGTGA